CTTTGATCCTTCCAGGTAATTACTGAAAAGTCAAGGCTCTGTTTGGCCTGGTTGTCTCTCCTATAGTATTTCTGTGGTTCAGCTCCCTGTGCGTTGTTACATTTTCATGCAGTCAGCTGGGCTCCCTTACTTACAGAGAATGGACAAAATGGCTGATCTCGGGATCACACATACAGAAGCTGAATGCAATATATGAGCAGAAAGGAGAAGAAATGTCCCCACAGTCGTCCTCCTATTGTTTCAATATCCACACTTATATTAAATAACCACTCAGCACCAGTGTTTCCACTAAGCTGCACAGCTTCACAGGTGATTAATCAGCCCCGCTCAGACAGTCAGCTCCTCACACGGAGCCGTGAGCCTCTGACAGGGCGGGGCTGGTTAATCACCTGGGAAGCTGTGCTGCCCTGCAGCTTAGAGGGAACACTGCTCAGCACCCATTGCCCACTTCTGGTCTCTGCACACTCTAATATTATGCAGGCACTGAGGGTTGAGGTAATGTTACGTTATAATATGGTATCTGTGTCTTGGGGCTTCTGCAGATTCATGTAGTGAGCAGGAGTGGTGCTGACATAATACACCAACACTGGAATTGTTTTGAATCTAGCTGTGCTCTGGAGGCTGTGAAGACCCTGCTTTCAGGTGCTGGTTATGTTGAGGTATTAGACTATGTCGAGGAACACAGAGGTTGGGACCTGCTCTCCAGCCCCAGTGATTACTACTGTGGAATAATGGAGATCACAAGGTAAGAGGCGAAAGCTACTCGTTCATCAACTTGTCTTCAGTTGGGGACCTTGCTCCAGAAACCTGCTATACAATTCATTTTTCACCTAATAATACACAGGTATGTTTGTGTCCTGTTGCAGTGCCATGGTAAAGCATTTCACGCCTCTTAATCTGCACCGGATTTTTAACCAGCTGATACCGCTGCTCAACAGTGAGAATGAGCATGATAAAATTATGTCCAGGGCCTTTTATGCTCAGGTAAGCTTCTTTAACTAATTGCGGAGCTGGCGTTCTAGAGAGTATTTTGCTCCAGGCCAGTTCCAAAAGTGAACAAGACATATGCAATAGAAAAGTTCAACAGCAAACGTGATAGGGATGAAGTCAGATCACCAAAGAAATGGTTCTAGTTTTCTATATTAAACCATACTATACATCCATGTGCAGTGTGCAGAACATTTCCCTTTCCTGTTCTTAGGGATCATCCTTATTAAATGACCTCTCATCTAACTCAGTGAAAACCATTACTGCCACCATTTCTATAAGGGATATTTACTGTCTAATCTAAATATTAGTCTGATCTTGACCAAGTGCTCAAAAAACATGACTGGCTTAAACCTCTGGGTGTAAGGTGTGAGCTTTTTTGAAACAGCAAAGTTTATTTTCCAGGAAAGGGTGATTTTAGTTAAGAGGCTACCTACCCAGCAAATAGAACTGGAAAGCCTGTTGTTAATTGACCGTGTCTCGTTTTGTGCTGCTTGTAGCTTCTCTGGCACCGTTCTGTGGCCCAGAGTCTGGAACTCGATGTCTTGGCCCCACTGAAAAAATGGATCCAAGAGCCAAATCCCATCATGAGGCTGCTGGGTCTCAGAGGAATCAGTAATTTAGCTCTCCACCCAGGGAAGGTGAGACGGACAATTTTTCATTATAAAGCAAGCCCCAGAAAAATACACTAGAAATGATGATAAGGCAGAATCAAATTCAGAGCAATTATGTGAGAACCATGGCACTTGTATTGATGTCACTGAAACAGTAAAATCAAACCAATGGAGAAATAAAATTACTGATCATGGCTTAAGGGTTAACACTTAGCTGAGCCTTCAGGAGATGACAGTACAGTCCTGGAAGATGGAAAAAATATTCTTTTTTTGTTTGTTTAAAAACACCCAAACAAACAACAAAAAACAGAATATATAAGGGATATAATAAACTTAGGATAAGACATTGTATAGAAAATTGTTCAGTCATTGGTAGTTTTTGGAGTTGCATAATGAAAAGTCATGTTTATTAATATATATACTACTCTACGCTAATTAACTGGTACAGTATTCACAGTATCGGACAATTGGTTATTTGGGAACATTATGAAGACTGATGGTATGGACATATTCATAAATTATTAGTGTCACAAACTTGAAATGGAAGTTTGTTATTCAGGACTGGATACTCACCTTTTGTTGATCTCCTATTAAATAGCTTCAGTCATCAGTCAGGGAGAAGAAACAGTACTTTGTGACCAGTCACAAATCCTGAGTTCTAGATAACTGGAGCTGAGAGTTGGTAATCTGTGGATAAGCCATTCGTAGTCTGAAAATTATTTATTCCGACATGCAATACTAGCAAATATAACAAATGCATCTGCCAAAATGAGAAATAGTTAACGAATTATGAATTCATTCCCTCCCTCACAAAAAAACCCCTCTAAATTAATAACATTTTTAGTTTGACTAATCCTAATCTACCAGTTCTCAAAGGTTTAACAGACTGCTGCTTCTGTGCAGGCAACACACCTCAGAAACCTCCTTCAGATCCTTCGGGAGTTCTTAAAAGAGAAAGAGGAGAGGATTGCGGAGCAGGCTGTGAAAGCCCTACGAAATATCATTTATTACATGGAAGGGGAAGAGGTCAAGGTTGCATTTTGCCATATCGTCCGGCCTCTTTGGCAGCTAACTACTGACGTAAGGCAAAACCATGAATGACTTTGCATGTGTGCACAATTTTATACAAAGGAGCATGGTCGTTACAGAGCATACAGTGACTGGAGTGACTGAAGGCAAAAATCCTCCAAAACTTGTTTGTTTAGTTTGCTTTGAGTCTATGGGTCTGTGCTATTCCTTCCTTTCAAGTCTCATGAAATTCTTTAGAATACAAATAATTGAAAAGCCAGGCGGTGCAGTAATACTCAGAGTCCTATAGGCAGGGCATAGAAAAGGCTACTGAGTTATGTCCATATCTGAGGGAGCAAATGGAGGTTTTTTCCTTTAGGACATATCTATCCTATGCGGAAGATTGATGATGCCTCAGTCGATCTTCACGGGTTCAAATTAGGGAGTCTAGTGAAGACCGACTAATTCAAACTGAGAGAGCTCCCCCATCGGTGCCAGTAGTCCTGCTCCTCATGAGGAGTAAGGGAAGACAACAGGAACATTTGCTCCTGTCAACCTCCTGCTGTGTGGACATCCCGAAAACACGAGTTAAGATACGTCGACTCCAGCTATGCAATTAATGTAGCTGGAGTTGCGTATCTTAAGTCAACTTTAGTGTAGAGCAAACCTTAAGGGCTTTCTCTAGTCTAATTATAAATAATTAAAACTACCAGATTGCCACCATTTCTCTAGGGAAACCTCCAGAGTCCAAAAGACCCTCAGTGATAGCATATGTTTCCAGATGGACCAGCCTACATTGCATTTTCCTCCCTTATCCCTAGTTATATCTATTTGCAGGGCCATAAACAAAGCCCAGCAAGCCACGTAATAGGTATTGAGAATTCTACCATTACATCATTGATCTGTCAGAACTTCAGGTAGGCAGCAGAGTGTTGTGGATTGAATAAAAGATCTTGTTGCTAATTAGTCTTGCTTGCTTTTGCTTCTCTTTTTTCCATTCTTTCTCAGCAATATTTGTCTTTCCTTATGTATATTTTGGTGTTAATTTTAAAATTATAGTTAATGAGCCCTTTTTTCCTCCCTCCTCTTATTTCCCCTTTCTATTAGTAATTTGGTGTTCTCTCCCTTCATTCCCCATATTCTTTTTTAATCTTTTTCCTTTCATGCCTTCCTCATTCCTTATCTTTCTTTCCTCATCTTCCCTTATTGTACAGTCTCTTTCTTTCCTTGATTTCTACTAGGCTGCTAATCTCTCCAGTCTTCTCTCTTAATCTGTTTCCTTCTCTAACCTTCTACTCTCTAACCTTCCACTTCTTTAATTTTCTTATCTCCCGCCTTCAACTTTCTTATCTCTCCCCTTCCTCCCCCCTCTGCCCCACACACACACCTTCTACCCACTACTCTCTGCACCCAACCCTTGGAGTCAGTCTTAACTGTAGTCCCCACCCATTGTTCACTCATGGACCTGACATGTGCAAGGTGAGGACTGGGAGGAAATGGGGAGAGAGAATTCAGCTACTAGCTCCCTCTCAAATCCTGAGGACCATGAAGCCATATTGGTGAGAGTTTCTCTCCTGGTTCAGTTAGAAGATTCATGGATTTTTCAGTGCCCTCTCCAGATAGCAGGTGAGAAGGGAATCAAAGGTCACAATCCTCTCCTCTTCGCCTGTCACTACCCCCTTACTGCTTAGCCCATTTTCTGTAGTGACAACATCATGTCTCACCAGAAGGGAATATTGTAGTTTCATATTAGAAAGCAACGCTAGGTTAAAATGCACATTTTTTTTTCTTCTTGGCTTAATTTAGGTCAGGACAAGGTCCTATGTACTGCCCTACAGACCTGTATGTTGAAAAATTCACTAGGAAGCAGGTAGTGGATTGTAGGGGATTGAGCACCATGCTGGGGAATCCAGTTATTTTTGTCCCCACTCTGTCCCTTTTATAGTCTGTATTTCTGTGTTTCATTTTGGCCTTTTTATAATTGCAGTCAAAGAGACTGGGGGGTTGTATGTGAATTCTAATGCTAGTGATAAGTCTCTGGGTGACAACACTGGCGACTAAAGTCCTCTTTCCATGGAAAAGAGGCAGCACAATCAGTGGCACTGCAAGCAGCTCCGTGCCGTCTTGCTGATGTGTCCCAGTCCCAACTTGGAAGGTTGGAGAGAGGAGTCTAGCCTGCATGGCCTGTTTCGTTCCTTGGTGCTGCCTCACAGACTTCCAACAAGTGTGCTAGTTGTGGTCATGATTTGTGTGGTAAGAACCTCTGGAAACTGGACTAAATCACCCAACAACCATGGGACAGAGTCCACCACAATAAAAGAAATATATACGGTGGTACTGCTGATTGACCTACAACTTATGCTGCTTTGCACCCTGCCTTCCTATACATCTAAAGACTGCACTAATCAGCAGACCTGATGATGTCACTTACGTTATGCAGGGATAATGGCAGTAGTTGATTGCAGGAGTCTTTCGCCCTTAGATTTCCCCGTCTTTGTGTCCTTCACAGGAGAGAGAGAAAGTGCGCATTTCTGCCATCATTGCCTTTGGCAAAATGCTGAAACGTGTGAACAAATATAAACCTGGACCTGTCATCCATAACGAGATCTACTGTGCCCTGGTGCCGCTGATGCTCGTGATGCAGGGGAATAATCATGAGATACTCAAGGTGAGTCAGAGCTAAGGAACCTGAATTTTTAGGACCTCTTGCCTTGTGGATGTTTCTCTCTACATCCATGGTTCAGTGGACAATCTTACCCCACCCATCTTCAATCTTACCATGTGATGAGAGAAAAGAGATACTGGGCCTGGACCTTCACGTCCCATGTCCCAAGCATTTTTGACTTCATTCTGGTTGTATTTTCTCACCAATCATCAGCTTTTAGCTCTTGTCAGGAACTCCTCCATGTCTGTCTTTATCTTGCAGGCATGTGGAGACACCCTGGCAGAGTGTGCACAGGTAATGGGATGGAGTCAGGCAAGGAACTTGTTCCAGCAAATGACGCTGAGTGACCATCTGCAGGTTTTGCAAGAGATGTGCACATTTCTGGCAAGTGATCTTGAGTTTTCAATGGAGTTGAGAACAGGAGGTGTGTGTTAGTGCTTTCCCCAATTCTGAGGTTGGAAAAGCACAAGAGGCAATATAACGTGTCCTCTTCAGTGTATCAGACTCAGTAAGTAGACTCTAGAATCTGGCTTCCATCACCACAGATGGCCCATCCTACATTTCCTTCTTACACATGTAATGCTGCTACATGGAGGCTTCCTTAGTCCACACAGCAGCAAGAGCAGTTTCCTATAAAGGAGAAAATTCAGATTCTTAAATAATTCTTGCCAGCAGCATTTTATAGAAATAACAAAACCTGTCACTTAAGAATATAAGTATGGTCATACTTGGTCAGACCAACGGTCCATCTGACCCAGTAACCTGTCTTCCCTCAGGGGCTAATGTCATATGCTTCAGAAGAAATTAATAGAACAAGGCAATTATTGAGTGATCCATCCTCTGTTGTCCAGTGCCAGCATCTGGCAGTTGGAGATATAGCGACATCCAGAGCATGGGGTTGCACCTCTGACTTACCTTGTCTAATAGCCACTGATGGACCTATTCTTTATGAATGTATCTAATTTTTCTTTGAAACCAGTTATATTTTTGGCCTTAGGACATCCCCTGGCAGTGATTTCCACATGCTGACTGTGTGCTGTATGAAGAAGTACTTCCTTATGGGTTGTTGTTGTTTTTTTTGTTTTTTGTTTTTTGAAACCTAATGCCTATTAATTTCATGGGGTGACTTGTGTTACATAGAATCATAGAATTCTAGAACTGGAAGGGACCTTGAGAGGTCAAATTCAGTCCCCTGCCCTCACGGCAGGACCAAACACGGTCTAGATCATTCCTTATAGATGTCTATCCAACCTGGTCTTAAATATCTCCAGTGATGGAGATAATACAACACCCCTAGCAATTTATTCCACTGTTTAACCACCCTGATAGTTAGGAAGTTTTTCCTCAGGTCCAACCTAAACCTCCCTTGCTGCAGTTTAAGCCTTGCTGCAATTTAAACATGAAAGGGTAAATCACATCACACTTCCTTATTTATTATATCCACACCATTCATGATTTTATAGATCTCTATCATATCCCCCCTTAGTCATCTCTTTTTTTAAACTGAACAGTCTGTCTATTTATATGACAGCTATTTCCTTATATGGCAGCTATTCCATGCCCCTAATTATTTTTATTGCCCTTCCGTGTACCTTTTTCAATTCTAATATATCTTTTTATGAGGTAAGGTGATTAGAACTGCATGCAGTATTCAAACTGTGGGCATACCAATGATTTATAGAGGGATATTATATTTTATCTTACTATTTAGTGACCCTTTTTTAATGGTTCCTAAAATTCTGTTTGCACTTTTGACTGCGGCTACATATTGAGTAGGAGTTTTCAGAGAACTTTCCATAATGACTCTAAGAACTTATTCATGAGCAGTAAAAAGCTAGTTAAGATCCTATCATTTGCATGTGTAGTTAGGATTATGTTTTCCAATGTTAATTATTTTGCATTTATCATCGTTAGCTAGCCTCCAGTCATCTGGTACAGAGATTGATTTAGATGATCAGGTTACCACAGTCAGCAGTTCTGCAATTTTATATTTGAGTTCCTATGGAATTCTTGGGTAAATGTCATCTGATCATGGTGACTTATTCCCCTTTAATTCAGTGGTTCTCAGTTAGGGTACATATACTTTGGGGATACTTCAACTCAGCTAGATATTTAGAGCAGGCTACTTAAAAAGCACTAACAAAGTTAGTACAAACTCAGACAATGACTTCTTTGTACTACTCTATATACTATACGTTGAGGTGGAAGTACAGTATTTGTATTCCAGTTGTTTTATTTTATAATTATATGATAAAACGAGAAGGTGAGCAATTTTTCAATAGTAGTGTGCGTAGAACTTTTTATTTCTCTGTCTGTTTTTGTAAGTGAGTGGTTTTTAAGTGAGGAGAAGCTTGGGGGTAGGAAGACAAATCAAACCGTTGAAAACAATACAATAGTCTGTAAAGACAAAGATCCATTGGCCTGATTTATCAATTTATTCTGAAATCACCTCTATTGACATCACAGTCTGGGATAGTTTTTCTAAGATCTGTCAACAAAAGAAGAAATGTCTGAGGTGTGGGAATCTCCCTTTCATCCTCTGCAGTGAAGACCAATACAAAGAATTAATTTAGCTTCTCTACAATGGCTTTGTCTTCCTTGAGTGTCCGTTAGCACTTTTGTTGTCTGGTGACCCTTCTGATGTACCTTTTTTAAAAAACGCTCTTAGTTTTTATGTCTTTTGTTAGTTGCTCTTCATAGTATTTTTTGGCCTGCCTTCTTATATACAGAAGTTTCGGAGGGGTAGCTAAGTTAGCTTGTAACAGGAAAAAAAAATAAAAAAAACAACAAATAATCTGGTAGCACCTTAAAGACTAACAAAACATGTAGATGGTATCATGAGCTTTTGTGGGCAAAACCCACTTCTTCAGATGACAGGAGTATAATAAGTCCAGATACAAGAATAAATAAGGGAAGAGGAGCAGAAAAGGAGGAGAGGAGGAAGAAAAAAGAGACAGTGAGTAGATAGTTCAAATAGTTACAAGAGGCTGTTAAGAAACATTAGCACCTCCATTGGCTGATTGGTTGGTTAAGTCATTAAAAGGTGGAAGATAGTGTGTGAGCCGCCCTATATCCCGGTCCAGACCATTTGCATAAGAATTAAACTTGTAAATGAAGTTAAGTTCTAATCCTTCTCTGTGTATTTGGCTTGTAGAATTGGTATGAAACAAAACGGCAACTTGGAGATCCATTAGTGAGTGTCCAGAAAGATTAAAGTGTTCTCCAACAGGTTTTTGTGTATTGCCTTTTCAGATATCTGATTTGTGTCCGTTAATTCTTTCCCATAGAGACTGTCCAGTTTGGCCAATATACATTGCTGTGGGGCATTGTTGGCATTTGATGGCATAGATCACATTAGTGGATGCGCAGTTAAATAAGCCTCTGATTTGGTGGCTGATGTGATCATTGGGTCCAGTGATGAAATCGCCGATATAGATGTGTGGGCAGAGTTGGCACTGGGGCTGATTGGAGGGGTGGATTCCTGGATGATTATGATGGAGGAGTGTTGCGTGGTTACGGGAAAGAATTTGTTAGAGGCTAGGGAGTTGTCTGTAAGCGAGAATTGGCCTTTCCCCCAAGGCCTGTGAGCGTGAGGGGTCATTTTTCAGGGTAGGTTGTAGATTGTTGATAATGCATTGGAGGGGTTTAAATTGTGGACTGTAGGTGATAACAAGTGGAATTCTGTTGTTTTCTCTTCTGGGCCTGTCTTGAAGTTGTTCATGTCTGAGTACTTTTTGGCTCTGTCGATCTGTTTTTTCACTTCTCTGGGCGGGTATTTCAGTTTTAAGAATGATCTACATAGATCCTGTAGGTGTTTGCTTTTGTCTATGGGACTGGAGCAAATCCAGTTGTATCTTAGGGATTGGCTGTATACAATAGATTGGGAAATGTGTCTGGGATGGAAGCTAGAAGCATGAAAGTAAGTATAGCGCTCGGTAGGTTTCTGGCATAGGATGGAGGAAATTCGTCCATCATTTAATAGTACTGTAGTGTCAAGGAAGTGGATTTCTCATGTGGACTGATCCATGCTGAGGCTGATAGTGGGAAATTGTTGGAATCCCTGTGGAATTCTTTAAGGGTTTCTTTCCCGTCGGTCTACATGATGGCGATGTAATCGATGTGGCATAAGTAGAGTAAGGTTCTTAGGGGGACGAGAGCTGAGGAAACGTCATTCAAGGTCACCCATAAAGACATTGGTATATACAACTTGCTTATATACACTTTCGCTTGACTTGCCTGAGTTTATTCTGCTTTCTATTTTCCTCACTAATATTTGACTTCCAGTTTTTAAATGATTCCTTTTTTGCTTATAACTGCTTCTTTTACTGTAGAGACTTTACTAGCATCAGCACCCACTGGTCAATACCAGATTTCGTTCAGAATGTCAGACTTGAAAACATAATTAAAATAGTCCACCAGTCTTAGCTGGGTTCTCTCTGAACTTAAATCCAAGCCATGTGAAGGTGTCCTTTGAGCCAGGGAAGTGGTGAGCTTCATGCTCCCCCACATTTCTGGCCTAAGTAGGAAGGGGGTTGTTAATATGCTATAACTCTTGTTGTTTTCTAGGTGAAAAAGTGCAGGAGAATGTTGGGGGATTTCTTACTTAAGAGCATAACCTACCTAAAGAACCCACAGCCCCTTTTACGAGAGGCAGCAGCCAGGTTTATAGGTAAACAAAATGAATTTCTTTACTGTTCCAATGAATTTCTTCAAAGCCATTTTTTTTCTTCATTGTGCTATGACCTTTTTGTGTGAGAACTGCATTCTAGGTTCCTAAGTTACTGAACTGAATCAGACCCCAGGGGTTCGTACAAAAATTGGAGCAATTGATATCCCACCTGCTATCCCTCTGCACCCAGGAGATGCTCTCTCCTGCTATCTCAGAGAATCTCTCCATTTTCTTCCTTCTAGAGGAATTTCCGTACCTTTGCTCTTCTTCAGCTGGTCACATGGGCATTTCTATAGAGATCAGATCCTCCGCTATTGTAAATGGGTGTAGATCCATTGAACTCATTTTTACACTATCTGAGGACCTGGCCTTTAGTCTCCTTTAGAAATTGGTCTCTTGGGAACTTGGGGTTTGGAGAGATTTGTCAGATTTCCTAATAGAGCAGCTTCCTCCTTTCTTCCTTTGGGAAGAGTGAAACTTGAGAAGTCAAGTCAAATTTCTGACTGTTGTTTTGATTGCATATCTAGAGTTCACAGTAAAGAATTTGAACTTGATTGAAGTTGACAGAGATGATGTGATGCTGCTGCTCAGAGGTAAGGAATTCCGTATGATCCTGACCACCCAAGAGAGTTGAAATCTTGCTATTAATCTGCAGAATGAGTACAGCATGAGTAGTGACTATGCCTGTTATACCCATATTACCTCGCCACTGTGCCTAAACCTGGACTAGGAGGGATAAACCTTGAGGGCTGAGACTGGAGTGTGGGCACCAGGGGCCATGCCTTTTTGTGGCATCTTTGCTGTGCCTGTCTAGAAGGGGGAAGTTTACTGTATCCTTGTGTTTGAAATCTATCCAATAATTTTCTATTCAGAGATATTTTTTATAAATAATTCCTATATTTTTGGAATAAATCGCCAGAAATGGATGGGTTTTATGCAAGAGTTCAACATAAATATGTCATGTATCACTAGAAAGAAGCTTTGTGCAATAAGGGCTGAAGGATTGCCAGCCTTGTATCAATATTTTTAAGCGGTGCTAAGAGGAATTCTAAGAAGTTATTGACAGCTGTGTTTTTCTTCAGTGTCTGAAAAAAATAGGTCAGAAAATTGTTAATTTATAAACCATTTAGAAGAGTCATGTCCAGTTAATTCAGCATCTGTAATGGTAGTATAGTTTCTGCCTTTCTAAACTGGTAGGGTTGTTTGAAAGAGTTAAGAAAGTACTGGATAAAAGAGGAAATAAATGTGTTTATCCTTTCAAAAGAGTGTTTATAAAGTTCCTTCCAAGAGACTGTTAAGGAAACTTAGTAACCAGAGAGCAAGAAGTAAATTTTTGGCATATATCAGCAGCTAGTTAAAAGACAGAAAGTAACATATAAAGTATGTTGTTGTCTTTCAAGGATCAGCATTAGGGCCTGTTTTCAATATGTTTATTATCCTTCTGGAAGATGGGATAAATTGTGAGGTGGTGAAATTTTGCTGAGACTTAGTCATTTAGTTTAATTAACACTTGGAAGAGTGCAGAAGAATTTTATAAGACTACAAAATTGGGCAACATGATGGGGGTGAAATTTCAATGTAGATGAAAGTGGGCACATTGAGGGGGTATAAACTGGTTGTTACCCCTCAGGAAGGAGACTTTAGGGCATGTTTACACTACAAAATTAGGTCAATTTTATTTAATTCATCTTTGAGAATCTGGTTCAACAAATGTGATTTTGCATGTCCCCACTAGGTGGCTGTGGTCGACGGAGCATATCCTCATTGCCAGAGGTTGCATCAACTCAAAGAGCGATGCACTGTGGGTAGCTATTCTAGGGTCTATTCTAGGCATCTAGGCTACGCAAATTGTATATTTTATTTCGATCTAATTTCAAAATAAAGCACTATTCTGAAATGTCCCTTCACCCTTGTGGAAGGAGGGCTATAGGGTCATCAGAGTAGCAAGCTCATTATTTCAAAATCTATTTTGAAATAATGGGCTGGTTCAAAAGACGCAGAATAGCTATTTTGGGATACCTCCAGTATCCTGAAATAGCACCACAATCTAGACGTACCCCCGCAGTCTCTGCAGCAGATTGGAATTTTGAACTAGGGTCCTAATACCTCATGGGATTAAAACATTGTTGTGGCTTATTATGGGTTCATGTTGTCAGCCTCCTATGTCTGTGGCTCAGAACCAGCTTTGTCCTGTTGAACAATGAATCTATTTAATCTATTTCAGTGTGGCACCTTTTATATTCCTAACTCATCTTACATTAGTTGGCTGCTAGAAAAGTTGTTTGCATATTGTAGAACCGGGCTGAATTGAAACTAATGATTTGCAAATGAAAGATTCTAAAACCATTCCCAATCTTCAGCACTGTGCAGTCTTTATTCCTATTTAAAATCAAATGAGGTTTATAAAATACATTAGAAAAAGAAGTGGGCGGGAAGATCTAATTCAGGGTTGTTCCCTACCGTGCTCTGTGTAGTCATGTAGTAAAAATCAGCCAAGCCACAGGCATCCCGCCCTTTTCTTCAACACTATACGACAGTTTGAAAGATTGAAATTGGTCATTTTTTTTCACATTTGACCCACATCTTTCGTGCTTAATGTCATCCCATTATTTTTAATTACATCCCTTTACAATTCCTAACCCCAGTTCTTGTTGTAGGAGCATTCCCAGTGTGTGTGAGTTTTGTGTTATCTGGAGACATTCCAACATTTCCATTTACAGAGGAGAAAGGAGGACTTCACAAATGGAACTCACTGGCGCTCAGTCTACAGCATCCGATATAATGCCTGAATGCTTTGCACTGAGGGTGATGTCAGGGGACAAGAAAGACTAAATTTTCATCCTGGCACATGGGACACATAAGAAATAATATATATTTTTTGCTTCTGGGGCTAAAATATGTTATGGGGCCCAAGAAAATGGCATTAGATAATGCGGCCTATTGAAATATCATCTTATTAAACTATGTGCTTTGATTTTCATTTCTTTTTGGTTTCAGCTCTTGAGGATCTCAGATATGACCCTGTAGACTCAGTCAGCATTGCAGCTATAGACACCATAACAAATATTGAAACAGCTTGTTTGCCTGAAGCAGAGCCTCTCTCCAGACTGAGGAAGTTTTTCTGCTCTCTGCCTGTTCAAAGAAAGATCAAGATTTTTAAAGTCAGAGAAATCCCATTAAAGTACAAGTTTAGCTCAAAGCAATTGAGAGGCAAAACTGTCCCTGAAGGTACCTCAGCAGCCAACCAAGAAAAAGAGGAAAAAAGCATGAAACAGAAGCTATGGAAGTTCTCAAGGAATATGAAAAGGAAGACACTCAAATGTTGTGGAAATACCTTCCTCAGAGGTATTTTCCACCGTCTCACTTCCCAGCAGTTATTAATTTTATTAAATACCATGTTGAAAGAGGACATGTGAATTAGAATAAGAGGACTGCCTCTCTCCAGACCATATCTGATAGGTTAGAGTTGCTGAAGTGTAGACATGAACTCCTCATTGTATCTTCCATATTCACCCTCCTTGAGTGTGTGTTCAAGATCCAATTCTCCTGATACACCAGACACACACTTCTATCCAATCCACTGCATTCACGCAGGCCATAGACCTCAGAGAATCCCGTTCACCAAATCAAGTAAGACTGTTACTTATTTATCATGGAGGAGAGAAGGCAGGCAACATTCCTGTAAAAGGATCTTAGTTTTTTATGTCTCACTTTGAAATGATTGTCCTATTATAATGATGATGTGCTTTTCAGTTATTGGATATTTGTTTACAAACAGAATTCTATCTTAATTTGTTTTTCCCGAAAATACAGTGCCTGACATTTAAATATTAGTATCAGTCAATCTTTTTTTCATTCATTGAGATTTTATAATCTCTATTTCTTGTTCATAGCCAATAGAGGGTGATACTGCATTCTGTACATACAGAAACACATGTCTCCCAACTTCCTGGTCACATGTTAGTTCCTTTTGCCAGGACTGCAGTGTTGAGAGAATCTGGTTTCTAAAAGAAGTGGCTACTGCATGGCACCATGTTGTATCTACAGGCTAGTCTTCCCAGTGACTCTGGCCATACTTTCTGGCTGTGTCTATACTACAAAGAAAAGTCGGGGAAAGATACGCAAATTGCAATTTGCGTATCTTTTTCCACTTTTCTTCCAAAAGAGGCTTTTTCAACATTTGGCCCATCTACACAGGGCCAAATGTTGAAAAAAACACGTCTTTGGGAACATCCCTTCTTCCTCATAAAATGAGGTTTACAGGGATGCCAAAAAACGCATATGTTTTTCCAAAAAAATTTTCGGAAAAGCAGACACATTCCTTGGACGCAACAGAGCTTTTCTGGGAGACCTCCAGTATCCCAGAAAAGCTCTATAGTCTAGACATACCCTGTGTCTATGACCCCTAAAAATGTAAAAGTGTTCGGTTATTTTGCAAAGGTGCATTTTCTATGATAACTTGTGCTTCTGGCCTTGATTTTAGTCTTGATGTGGGTCACTCTTTGGAATGAATTAAAATGAAAAAAAGTGAGGGAAATCAGGAAAAATTACATTGTATTTGTTGGTTGCTATTTTGGCACCAAAATGGAAATGATGGTGGCATACCCTTTTACACATTTCATGTTGGTCGCAAGCCGTCGGAATGTGCACACAGCATTGCAGTAACTATTCTTGCTAACTGATGTTATTTTCCTTACTCATAGGTGCTGCAGCTGCATATTAAAATCAGAAATTAACACCAGTGACAGGTCTGCAAACTCTCCGATAACTGCTGAAAAAGCAGAGTCACACAGAGCAGCTGAACTAACTGAGGGAGAAAGAAAAGAGATCAGGAGAAGTAACCCTGTGGATTCCTGGTCACCATTGCTTCCGTGTGTGAATGCAGAATGAGTAAACCTCTTCCATCTGTAGCATTTCCACAGTTCAGGAAATGTGTTCGGTGCTCATTATCTCTGGCATATATATTGTATTTGGATCACATGCCTCTGCGGAACTTTGTTTAACTGGCAGATACATCTCTATCACATAAGCACATGCTGTGCTCAGATCAAACGTATGTCTTGCTGAGTGGTGTTCACCATTGGGTGCCTGCTTCCACAGTACCATAACCACTGGCTTGTCTATATTGATTGGATTTTGATAAAGTTTTCACTTAAAAATTTACTTAATCTTTTGCAAAACATATACTGGAATGTAAAAAATGGTCTGTTCTGATCATTGTGAAAAGGAAATAACTTTGAAATTTGACAAAATAATTTTACATGTTTGAATGACTCTACTTTCATGAAAACATCAAAATGCCATGTAGTAAAGGTGTTACACACAGGAGTGCTGCAAGGTTGGCTGAACTTTATTTCCAGCTTCCAGTCACTTGACAGGTGTCAGGGTCTGACAAGCCTATATCTGGTCACGTGACAGGAATCAGTATCTACTGAGACCAATGGCTATTGTCCCAGAGACCAAAATAATAAACTTCAGATGTGGTAAGGGAACACTGCGTCTGAAATGAAGCCACAGAGATTACAGGTTGAACTGGAAACAAAAAAATTGGCAGGAAATCTAGCCAAAGTAAATGGAGGCCTTTTTAAATAATAACCTTTACTGCTGCCTCTCTGTAAAGACTATGGGTTGAAAACACACACTTCAGCTCCTACAAGATAATCCCCTGATAATCTACAATTAGTTACTCCTGTTTCATCTTGCATCTCCAGAAGGAGGAAAGTGGAGGAAGAGGTAAACTTGACTGTCACATGACAAGTCAAGGGACAGCCAATCAGTGGAAGAAAAAAAAGGCAAGCCAGTCCACCGACCCAGAACTGAAAATAACAAGAGCCTTGAAGCACAAGACAGTGCATGTTCTCAAAAGACTAACCAGAAGTACACAGCTAAGCACACTCAATCACAAATGGAGAAAAGAATTCTATTTCCAAGAGGAGTTTGAAACCTACAGTGATATGGGGTGTCACTAATCCCTCTTTGTTTGAGAGATGAGACTATCCATAAGCAAAGGCAGAGAAAAACATAAGGCATGAGCTGCTGTTCCCCAAGACAAGTAAACTGAGAGTCCAGAGAAAAAATTTGCATATGACCAGATAGGAGAAAAGGGGCATGGTGGGACATTACACCAGCCAGAACTTTAAAAAGCTACTCGAAAGGACCAAATGCATGGGAAGAAGGAGAGACCATCACAGGATATGAATGTACCTTGAGACAGCAGAGACTGACTGTAGGATAGAGGACTACTTTCCACAAAGCACACAGACAGTAACCAAGTAAGAATATTTTGTATAAGACTTTCATGAATGATCAGGAACCAAATTTCCTCAGCAAGCTGACAAGACACACCTGTCTCAAAATAGTCTCTGCACAGGAAGACAACTAAATAGAGACACATTAACAGCCTTCCTGATGGAAAGGACAGAACTGAAAATAATGCCTTATGCATCACCACCCAGGAAAGCAAAATGATAGGATCACCATATTTCATTTGGAAGTCACAGGTAGGAGGCAATATGGAATTCAAAAGAAGTCTTCTATCAAAAATGTGAAATTCTTTCTATTTTTCTGCTAATGAACCAGGGATATCGACAAAAACAACAACAACAAAAAAACCAACAACAACCCTGATTTGCTTGAGAGGACCGCCATGGCCTTATGTGTCTTTAGATGCAGTTCTTGTCTTCAGGTTTGTCATAACTGTGTACTCAGTGGGATCTGTGGGAACAAGGCTAAGGCCAAAACTAATTAATACTACTTAAACGGTTTTGAGGGGAAAAAGATGCATCCTCCAAATATATGATAGAGCTATTGTGCTAATGAAAATTACACTGATAGTGATATTTTTTCACTTCGTCTGATCTGTCTCATTGTAAGTCAACATAAGTTTCTTGTTTTTAATTAATAAAAAACTATTGTACAAAGTTTCTTCTCTAAAATCTCACTATTTATATATGTGTATTACTGTTTGCTATCTAATACAGAGGGTATACTTTAACTTTGGTTGTAAAATATTATATTTACAGTAGTTTGGCAGAAATCTGGTTGCTATAAAATATCAACCTAAGTTCTGTGCCAGAATGGAGTTTCTGCACAAAATGCTTGTATTCTGTGTCATAACGATGCTTCTGTTAAGACTGTTCATGTGATGAAATAATGTCTGTGATGAAATTCATATTCTTTACCACATGGTCCAAATACCTGGGTTTTATAAACAATTCCCTTGGCAGCCACACAAAAGAACCAGTGGCTACCTAGTGTTAGTCCAAACCTCAGTTTGCTTTCCCAGAAATTGCATTCTTGATGCCTTTCCCACGTTTGGAGAAGAAAATAAGGTGATTTGTCCAAAAACAGCAGTCCCACTAATTTTCCAGAATGTGTTTATGAAGGTGTATTCATATATCCTATTCAACAAGGGAATTCTATCATTATGTAAATTAAATGCATATTTTTAATCCCGTTCTTGATATATGGAAAAGTACTAATCACAAGTCAACTAATTCATATAGTGGAATAGGGAGGGAAGACTTTTGAATTTTTCCTTTCCTTCTAGCAGTTTTGATGTAAAGGATTATGAACATGAAGATATTTACATATGGACTGAGTCCTGGGATAAGAGAAAACAAAGTGATAATATCTGATGGTCAGAATAGAGAGTGAGGAAGGTGGGTAAAGGTTTACGAAAATGGATGATTATTCCTAAAGGCCGGACGCGTTCAGCCAGAATGCGTATGTGTGGTGGCATGCGACGCCACCGGTGAAATGTTTAGACCTCTTTGAAAAGAAGGTTTACTCCTCTGCCATGCTGACGGCAAATTATGCTGCCCTCCTCTCCAATCACTACTTTGATAACTCTATGAAGTTGGTGATGCTGCTAGAACACTTGCCAGAGGACAAACGTCAAATATTAAAATCAGTGGTTCAGGAGGGCTATACTGCCTCAAGGGCAGCTTTACAAATCTCATTAGACATCGCTGACACAGCAGCTCACACCACAGTGACATCTGTGGTAATGCGAAGATCATCCTGGCTCCAGATGGCATCGGTGCCTAAAGAACTGCAGGCAAAAGTAGAAGACTTGCCATTTGACAGACAGAGTCTGTTTGCTGAAAATAGCGACCAAGTCCTACGTTCAGGCAAGGACTCTCGGACGACTCTGAGGACTCTCAGTATGTACACACCACCGTACCGCCATAAATGCTATATGTCCTATTATAGACAACAACCGTTTTCATACGCCACAGTTAGATACAGGCAATATGAACCCCAACAATGGGGGAAACCACGCCAGCCAAAATGACATCCGCAGATGAGTAGGGCACCTAACCCTCACAACAGGCGGTCAGTTTGACGGTCTTGTTGAGGGGCTGCAGACCATTCCCCTACAATCTAAACCAGAATTGCAGAAAATTTTTCACCATCGTTTATGACTGTTTCAACAAAGGTGGTTCGCCATCAACACCGATCGTTGGGTCCGAGAGCTAATAACATCAGGCTACTTCATACCGCTTTTTTCTCTTCCCCCTATTTCTCCCCTCCCCCCGTCCTCCTTCAGGGACCCATCTCATGAGGCTCTCCTAATGCAGGAGGCTCTACATCTCATAAACATCGGGGCAGTGGAGAGAGTGCCTGAATAATTTCAGGGGAAAGGGTTTTATTCTTGGTACTTTCTCCCCGAGAAAAAAATCTGGGGAATGGAGACCGTTCCTGGATCTTCAACGGCTCAATCAATATCTATTGAAACACAGGTTCAAGATGGCTTCCTTAGCTTTTATCATTCCAGCCCTGAATATGGGAGATTGGTTTACGTCCCTCAGTTTACAGGATGCTTATTTCCATGTGACGATACATCTTGCACACAGACACTTTCTCAGATTTGTCATAGGCACACAGCCCTTCCAATACAGAGTTCTTCCATTTGGCCTATCGTCCGCACCCAGGGTCTTCTCCAAAATGCTATCGGTAGTCGCCGCATATCTGCATAATCACAGCATCATGATATTTCTGTACTTGGACGAGTGTCTAATCAAGGCACCCACTTATGGCCAGGCACTAAGGGCCACCAACATCAAAAGGGACTTATTTACAGCCCTAGGCCTCGTAGTCAGTACCCAGAAGTCCTCTTTCATGCCCTAAAGGTCCCTTGAGTTCATTGGGGCACAACTAGATTCTACTACAGCCAAGGCCTATCTTCCTGTGGCCAGATTTCACAAGATACAAGACCTTGTTCATACGATCTGTATCAGACCCAGATTCTCCACACTCACGTGCTTGCAACTCATGGGGAATATGGTGGCCACAACGTACGTAGTACAACATGCTAGGTTCCATCTCAGATGCCTACAGCACTGGGTAGCTTCAATCTACTGCCCGGACAACCAGGATGTTCATAGGCTAGTGACGGTGCCCCCGATCATGTGATGCTCCCTGGCATGGTGGACTCCTCCACCAACATGCTTACAGACGTTCCCTTCCACTACCGACCATACAAATTACAACAGACGCATCTCTTTTGGGGTGGGGAGCTCATTGCTCAGGAGAACATGCGCAAGGATGATGGACCGCGACAGAAGCGCTTCAACATATCAATCTTCTGGAGCTCAGGGCAGTAGTATTCAATGCCTGCAAAGCATTCTTACCCACAATTTGCGGCCATATGATGCAAGTCCTTACCAACAACACCACCACAGTTTACTATATCAACCGTCAAGGTGGAGCCAGGTTGAA